TTTTTTTTTTTCAAACTTGGCAACTTTAAGACGTGTGGATTTCAACTCCCAGAATTCCCCAGGCAGCATTTCCCAGAGGAATTCTGGGAGTTGATGTCCACACATCTTAAAGTCGCCAAGTTTGAAAAAAACACTGATTTAAACGATCACGATAGATGCAACGTTGTCAGGGAGCTCTAAACAGAGTGAGGAGAAGCTAATTTTGCTTTTAAATGAAGCAGGCATCAAATGATCTACAAAAGACACGCGGGCCAGGATTTTACTCACCGAAAAAAGCATATTTTTCTTGTCTTGGTTTACTGCGCGAGGATCAGGCACAGGATCCGTGTGTTTAATTACCGAGACAGATTCACCTGGAAAAAAAGGTCAAGTGCCTTAGTGTGGAAGTGTGAATTCTCTCTGCCCTTTGGACATACTTCCTGCAGTGTTTAGCAAAACAACCCCCATTTGTTTCGTCCACTCCCCCTCCCCCCCACCATTCTAATATAATTTATGGGCTGTACTGGGTTTTTCTTTTACGAGCCATTGTGGAATAATGGAAATAAGCCAGATACAACTACAACACTCCAGGAGGAAAGCTGACACAACAGGCTGGGTCCAACTTTTAAATAAGCCAAACAGGAGGGACTCTTTCATTCAGAATTAACTTTCCATGAGGGGTGGGAGAGAGAGAGAAAGGAAGGAAGATGGACCCGGGACAAAATAAGACAGGTCATCTTCACCATGACCACCATAATAGGACTTTGCCATCAAGGACAGATGTTTGCAACAGATCCCCAAGAAGCACCACTTTTCTCTTGAGAGCCCCCTACCTGTGAGAATCGACTGGTCTACTCGTAGAGTTGTTGATTTTATAGAAGTAATTCTGATGTCAGCAGGAACTTTGTCCCCAACTGTGGGTTGGAAGAAGAAGAAAAAAAAAGGCACGTGAGCTTAAGCGAGCTGCAGGAAATTCAAATATTTTTCCAGATGTGCAATGCGTATCAGAGTAAGCACAATAATATTGGGTGTTTATTCAAAAAGCAATTCTCTCTTGCTGGACTGTTTTTATTTCAGAGTATTATTCCATGCCTTTCTTTGCTTTTGTACCTGTGTGGTGTTAAGTCTCATACAATGTGGAAGTTCCTCTTCTAATAAGTTGGTAGGTTATGCCTCCTACTCCCCACCTTTAAGTTCAGGGAGAAATCTCATTCTGTAAACCCAGCTGACTGTCCTACTTTCACTCCAATACAAGTAGGAAGGCGCTAATGATTCCCGCTGGCATTTGGTTGAGCCAATGGGAACGGCTTCCCAATCAGGATCAATCTCGGCTCCGTTCTGGCATGGATATTCTTGGTAACATGCAGCCAAGCGGAAGGTGTGCTTAAAACAGTGCTGCATTCTGTCAGATTCGGGGCGGGGTGGTGGTGGTGGTGGTGGTGGGCAGGGAGACTAAAAAAAAAATAACACAGAAGCACCCGAGTTTTGATATAGTTCTTTGTTCTTAAGACTGGCAGTGACCAGTATCCGACAGCCAACATTACTATCCTTTAGGACAGGGTGTCCAACCTCGGCAACTGGAAGATGTGGCTGCCTGGTGAATTCTGGGAGTTGGAAGCCCACTGGTCTTAAACAGGCCAGGCCTTAAAGGGGTGTCTAACAGGTCTTGAAAGTTGGGACACCTCTGACTTAGGAGCTCCTACGACCCACGCAAAATCTGTATGGAACACTCATGCAAGATTCACTTCCCAGAGCTCCAGGCGGTACTGCCTCCTAAGTGACTGATCCTGTCACGGAGAACAGCCTCCCCGCACCAGGTCCCACTAGGTTTCCTGCAGGGAATTCTCAGCTCCTTCATCCCTACAGGAGCTGCTTATGCAACTGGCAGCAATCAGAGACACAGAGGGAAAACCACAGCGTGTAGCCATGGTAAGTTGGCACGGTTACCGTGAAAATGGGATCCTTTATTCATCGGCTAAGGGGACGCCACTTTGGGGAGTAGCCCGGCCTTTGAGAAGGGCAATTACAGGCTGTCCTCGGCTTACGACCACCATGGAGCCCCAAATTTATGTTGCTGAGTGAAGCATTTGCCAAGTGAAAGATTTGCCTCATTCTGCGGCCTTCATTTGTGTCACTGCGCAACTACCATAAAAACGAGTCAGTGGCCAAGCGCCTGAATTTAGACCGTGTGACCATGGGGATGCTGCAACGGGCATAAGTGTGAAAAACTAAGTCACTTTTTTCAGGGCCGTTGTAAACTGCAGACGGTCAGTAAACGAACTGTTGTAAGTCGAGGACCACCTGTGTCGTACGATCTTTCAACTTAAATTGTATATTTGTAATTTTTGTAGATATTCTTTGATGGCCAGTTCTACAGAGGAAGGATTGAGTCTATCATCTGCACCTCTTCAACTCTCTGGTTTGGTTCTGCAACCCAACAGGACAGACAGAGACTCCAGAGAGGAATTAGGACTGCAGAAAAAAACAATTCCTACCAACCTGCCTTCTTCCATGGAGGACCTGTATGCTGCACGAGTCAAAAAGAGGGTTGGGAAAATATCTCCACACCCCTCACATCCTGGACATAAACTGTTTCAACTTCTTCCCTCAAAACGATGCTGATAGAGCCCTGCACACCATAACAACAAGGACGGATTTTCCCTGAACTCCATCCCTCTGCTAAACACATAATTCCCTCAACACTGTCCAACTATTTACAAAGTTTGCACTACTATTACTGTTAATCTTCTCATCACTCCTTATCAACGGTTCCCCTCCCACTTGGCATTGTATGACTGTAACGTTGTCGCTTGTATCCTTACGGTTTATGTGGACTCTTTCCTAGTATGATTTGATGGCTTATTTGTACCTTATGACTATCATTAAGTGTTGTACCTGATGATTCTTCTCAACGAATGTCTCTTTTCTTTTTGCGCACTGAGAGCATTTGCACCGAAGACCAATTCCCTGTGTGTCCAATCACACTTGGCCAATAAAGAATTTCTATTCTATTCTTAAAAACTCCCCTAGAGGGCTTTTATTGACTTGGTCTATTTATATTGCTTGGTCACCATTTCCCTTTTCTACTGCATTAGAGTGAAGGAGGAGGAAAAAGGAACAAAGGGGGGGGGGCGGGGGGAGCATTCTAAGCTCCCTCTGCCCTTCAGCACCAGAAGAGAAAATAGTACAAGACAAACAATGGCCAAAGCCAAAAATGGGCAAACTATTCGGACGCGCTTCCCTGCAACCCCCCAACAACCCCGCCACGGATGGGTGTCGTGAGGAAGAAGCTTCCAGTCCAGCAGCCGCTTTTCCCAATTCCACCCAAGAGCAACTGGAGAAGACTTGGCAGCGGGCGAGAAAAAACCCTACCAGTCCATCGGGAAGGAGGAGGGCAAGGCTGCCAAAAAAGCCTGTGACAGCTGGGACCTCTCAGGTGCCACCCACCCAAAGCCTGGCACCCCTGCAGACAGGTGAGGTCCACTGCTCCCAGCTACGGCTGGGGGATTCTGGGAGCTGAAGTCTCACAGCTTCGGGCAACGCATGAAGGACGCCCCAAATGGGTGCCCCCTCCTCCTCCTATGATAAAATTCAGTAGCTCGTTCTCGACACACGGCCGTTTGTTCGGTGACCGTTCCAAAAGTTGCACGGGGAACCTGGCCACCTGATCAAACTTCAAGACGTTTGGCAACTGACTCGACAGTTATGACGGTGGCACAGTGATCCCCTTTTGCGACCGTCCGACAAGCAACATCAATGGGGAAGCCGGGTGCAGTTAGCAACATGGGACTAATTTAGAGCACGGTGCAGATTCACTTAACAACGGTGGCAAGAAAGGCCGTAAAATGGAACAAAGCTCACGTAGACATGTCTCGCTTAGCAACGCAAAGGCTGGTCTCAATTGTGGTCATAAAGTCGAGACTACCTGTAACTCTCTGCTAACCAATTTCTTTTCCTTCCTTGGACACAATCGTCAAACCCAGTTCTATGTTAATTTAGGAACAATGCTGGGAAAACCCCAAGTTATCCAGGCCCATAAATGCATTTCCTCTCCCTGTAAACGCATTGATGGTTTCCACAGCAGAGAATTTGGCCGGTGCCATCAGATCCCTGCCAGGCTTAAAACGTTGCGGTCGTCATACCAGAGATGCTCCTGATCGAATTCACACTGCACGATATTAGCGAAGGGGCTTGCAGCCGCCTTGGTGGAACAGCCAACTTGGGGAGGAGGGGGGTCCCAAGCTCCCTCCCCCAATAAACCTGGTTACTCCTCATCTCTTTAATGATAATTGTCACTGTCCCAGTGTTAAGAACCGAAACTGATTAGCTGAAAATAACACAGGGGCTTTAATTATAGCAATAACTATGCACAGAGGGTTTAACAGACACAAGAAAAATAACCATATGCATACACACACACAGACACACATGCACACAGTTGTGCTCATAAGTTTACATACCCTGGCAGAATTTATGATTTCTTGGCCATTTTTCAGAGAATATTAAAAAACTTTTCTTTCACTCATGGTTAGTGGTTGGCTGAAGCCATTTGTTATCAATCAACTGTATTTACTCTTTAAATCATCATGACAATAGAAACTACCCAAATGACATACATACATACATACGTATGTATATATGTAGGTCTAGGTGTGTTTGGGTCTTTTCCTGTGTAAGATTAAGAGTATCTTAATCTTACACGGGAAAAGACCCAAACACACCTAGACCTACATACCTGTACCCGTGAAAATCTACATCTCCATGACTGCCACGGAGGCAGAATTGGAGGGCAAAATTATGTTTTCCTTGCAGAAGGAAAACCTTTCTGAACAGCTTTGGGCTAAGCAACAGAGATCAGAGCAAAAGAAAAAAGAAAAAAAAAGCGATGGTTAAATCTCATAGCCAAGTTCCCAATTCAAAGAAGTTTCTGTGCTCCATTTCAGTGTATTTGCCAAATCAGAAGAGAATATCGGCAGCAAACTTATCTTGATGTTCAAGAATTTTCTGTCCAGAGGTACCTTTTGTTCCAATCATAAATTCCTCTTGGGTTCTATTAAGGTTGTAAGGTCGCAACCCTTCTGCGAATTCAAAGCCCAAGAGTAGCAGGCCTCACATTCTGCAGGCTTTATACTTCAATCACTCATGGGAGGGGAAGGGGGGAAATGGACCCACGACAGGTCAAAGGCAACAATTCTTTTATAAATAATTCTGAAAATGAATGTGCTGTCCTGGTTTGAACTCCGGGCCGTTTTTGACAAGTTTTTAGCAGGGTACAGCATAAGCCTACTATTTATTTTGCTTTGAACTGCTTCACTTAGGAACTGCTCTCTGCATCAAAGGAGGATGAAAGCTCTGGGTAAATGTATTTACATATTTCTTACCCACAAAACGCTATTTGACATTGTGACTCGAGAGAGATTAGAAGGGAGCCGAGTCATGCTGAGAGCCTGCGCACCCTGTAGAGCCCAGCTTTTCCAACTAGTCCTATTAAATTAATATATATGTGTGTGTCAGCCTCAAGATCTATACATACACACATACATACATGTTTCAATGCCTGACAGGGATTTATGCTGACAACTAAACAGGAACATTAAACACAAATATGAGCTCCCAAAATTCCCACCGTTACAAGCAGTTGTACAAAATTGATGCCTGTTTTCAACAGAGGGTCCAGAATTAAGGCTACTGTTGATTTACAATCCATAGAGATTTACTCTACTACTTTGTTCCACTGAAGTGAAATACATTCAGCCGCTAAATTTAAAGCAATCCCCATGGTCAAAGTCTTCTGCAATTGATCCAACATGAAAGTTGGCTCAATGCACGCACTGTTAGGTCCTCTTAGGCGTAACCATGATTTGCTAAAGGAGCCCTACCAAGCCTCCAGGCCTTTGCTTGTGGCGAAACCAAAGCAAAGCAACCACACTGAAGCTCCGAATGTCAGGTCAGTCAGTCTCTTAAAAAGAGTTTTCAGGATGAGCACCTAGGGAGGGCTCCAAAGGCATCTGAGCGTGTTGGGATGGCCCTTGGTTTCTAAACTCCATTACGAGGCCCTCCAAGAAACTTGGAAAGCTCTTTCCATCCCACAATGCATTTCCCCTTGGCAAGAGAACCGGGCAATTTCCTGCTTCCCTCTTAGAAGAGCCTTTGTCCACCATCCGTGTATCGCCTGGATTGGAGTTCTCGGCTAAGATTAACTGGCTAAGATCAACCCCCTGGCTGCCCCCCATTATAGGAAAACCCTCCTTGAAGGACCCCTGGCCGTTTGGCCCCACTGACCTTAGGGGGGAGGGGAGGTGGCGGCCACCTGGTTGTTTTATGCTGGTCAACAGCGAGGAGCTTTTGTGCGGGCACGCAAATGTCCCTGGCATGCTGCCTAAAATTCCGCCATCAGAGACGCATCCCCCGACCAAGGGCTCCGTTCCTTCCCTAGATGGTCCTCCGCTGGCAGGCGCCATGTCAAAGGCCATCCAACGCACTTAGGCTTATGACAGAGGCATGTCCACCGTCTTTCACACCTCGGGGAGCCTTGACATCAGCTATGGAACACGGTGTCTGTTCCCTTGGAAGAGCTATGCTTTTCTGTCCGGCGGCTATGCGGATTGGCGGCTGGGTGTCCTGCAGAGGATCGGTCTGGTCAATGCAAGATGGACTAGACACCCGAAGATTTACGTCCACTTTTCTTAGCGAGGCAGGCAGGCCTCGCACCTTCCCCTGCCTTGGGAAAGAAAACCCATCGTGCAATCTAAAGCCTGCTTTTTTTTTTTTTCTAGAAGTCACGGCTTTCCATCAGCTCTTTTTTCGGAGTTTTTTTTTGGGTGACACAACCGCTGCTCTCCACTGGCTGTGCTACACACAAGACGTGCCAGGTGACCAGGGCTTTGGCAGTCGGCCACATCCAAGGCAGCCACTTGGATGGGCTGGGAGATGGGGGAGGAGAGTGGATTATCGGGCCTCCAGGGGCAGCACAGAGGGGCCCGGTAGTCGCTTCCCTGCACTGGTCTGAAGCCCTACAGAGAAGAGCTGAAGGCCACTGTGAAACCTTCCGTGGCTAACAATTCTGGCCACGAGGCTTGGCGAAATGGAAGGAGCCTGTTTGGGGGGTATACTCTGCACTGAGGAAAAGAGCGCCATGGTCAGAAACCGCCCGCTGATAATACAAGCCATCTATAGCCAACTATAAATGAAGAGCCAGTCTCTCTTAAGGGCATCAGCTTAGCAATATGATTATGCAACTCAGGAGTTTCCAAACTTGGTAACTTAAGATTTGTGGACTTCAATTCCCAGAATTCCTCAGCCAGCCATGACAAGTTTTGGAGAGCCCTGATGTAACTCATCAGTACAATACTTCACAGTTCGGAGTTGAAGAACCAAAGAAGCTTCTTGGGTGAGAAGTGGAACGTTTTCAGGAAGGAAAACACAAGCAAGAAAGTCCACTTGCCTTTTTGGAAAAAGCACCCTTGGGACAACCATGATCTGGATTGATTGAGAATCTCCACAGACATTTAAACTTGGAAAAGAAGGTACCCTGATGTAGACAAAACCCGGCTTTTTTCTTTTCTTCTGCTTACTTTCCAAGCTTTAAATGCACGTCAAGAACTAACTCAGGCTTGACAGTAGCTCAAAATATGGAAGCAACAAACCCACCAAACCCACCAAAAAAAGCATTTGAAAATCCACTATTATGTAGTAAATAAAAGTTCTCACCAGCTACTTCCACGATATCACCAGGGACGATGTCTCTTGCTTTTATCCTTTGTACACTTTTTCTGTCTTGTCGATAAACTTTTCCCATTTCAGGTTCATATTCCTTAAGAGCTTCAATGGCGTTTTCAGCATTTCGCTCCTAAAAACATCAGGATCAACAGCGGGGGGGTCAGTAATTCTACATATACATTGTTTAAAAAAAAAACTACCGCGCTGAGCAGCTGGCCTCCAAGTTTGCCGTTTAATAAATAATCTAGGATCATCCGCTGGCATCGTATTGCTGCTGCTGCTGCAGCTAAGCCGAGGGAGCAGCCTGCAAAATTTCACTGTCAAATGCGCAGGCTAAATGCTGCAATTTTCCTGGTGTGCATAAAGCCAAAAAGGCGATAATCCAAAAGCTGAGGTCCCTTTTTAACTGCGGATTCTTATCTCTCTTAAAATAACTCAGATTCAAAGTGGACTTCTTGACTTAAACGGGTAACTGATAAATTTGACAACTCAAAGAGTTACAACTCGGTAATTAAGTTCCTTTATACTTTCTCTCCTTCCAGCACTTGGCCCCCTCCGGCAGTGTTGCGTTCATTGTTCTGATTGAGAGGCCAAAATGGCAGGGGGAGGGAGGGAACACACACACACAACGGTTCCCACAACTTCAACCCATTTCACACTCGCAACTTGCTAACAAAGTGCTTTCTATCAACACAATACGGTGATAGAGCTGGGATTTTGAGACCAGGACCTTGTAATGCCTCATGAGCCTTTCCTCAATTCTTTTTGTAAGAAGGAGCCCCGAGGGCTTTTGAGACAACACAACTGCCCCTTGCTGCTCAAACCTTGCTAAATTATTAGTTTGTTGTGAAAACGCCAGCAGCCAGAGGAGAAACATCTGCCCGTGGTTCCTGCTGTTACACTTGGAGACGGGGAACCCAAATTAAGTGGAAAATATATCCATCTAAAAGGAATGTATGTTTGCGGGTATTTCGCTTGTCACAGACAGGAGATAAAGACTAGGGAGGATGATCACGAGAAGGTGGGTTCAACCTCTTGCTTTTCAAGTGAAGAAATCCAATTTTTAAGTCACTCTGTCCATTTTCAGAAGCAAGAAACATTAAACTGTCACCAACGTTAGCAGACAGATGATTAGTGAATATTACAGCTTTTTATAGCATTGTTCTATCATAACAGCTACATTTTCATCTGAGTGCCGGAAGAATTCTTCACTCAGCTCCAAGAATTTTTCTTGCTCTTAAAAGGCAGAGTTTGTATCAGTACTGGGTGGTGGAGGTGCGGAGGGCAATAATTTGTCTTTTTTAATAGACATAAATCTAACAGGAAAAGATTCTCAGCTATTCCAATGCATCAGCTGTAAATTAAATCGCTCTAAATTCTAAATCGTTAATTTAATGGGCAGAGGCTTCGGGGTTTATTATTTTTCATCATTTAAAAACTTCCTCTCTCTTGAGCTGCCATACCACCTTAGTTGACATCCTCCAGTTCCTATGGCAACAATACCCTACTACGAAAGACGAATTATGGGCAAATTATGACTTTCTCATATGACCAAGATGAAAAAAGGAGGTGGAGAATAGGGTATATTCATGCCAGAAATGTCACTCACATCTAGGAAGCAAGCTATTAATACTCAGTACTGTATAACTTAGTGGCAGGACTCAACCACAAGTATTGAACTGTTATGTCCCACAAAACAAGAGCCCAAATCACTGTTGGCAGCAAGCCGCATCCACCTACCCTCTTGCAAAGGAAAGCAGAGGTCAACTCAGGCTGCAGGCTGGGGAATTCTGGGAATTAAAGTTCACATGTCTTACACTTGCCAAGGTTGAGAAATACTGCTCTAACTGCTCTACGTTATTCTCGTAACTTGTTTTGATATTCTCTCATGGAAAATTTGAGTAGGAATAGAAGGCAAACATGGTATGTGCCCTGATACAAGGATATATTTTGGTGGATGCAGTGGCTTGAGTAAATTGCACGGGGTGTCATTTACTGGATATACAGAACATTTCCCAAATAAATTAAAATGCTTGGTGGTTCTGAAATCCACACCACCTTAATTTATGTCAGTGACATTCTAGGGTCCCTTTTCTCTGACAAAGGGTGGAACTCATCCCTGCTTTTACTAAGGAAAGGTACAATTGATGGTTAAGCATTAAAAAGTCCAAAGTCTCTTTGCTGGACTGAATTAGATACACGGTTATTTGGATCCTGTCTTATCTTTACAACATCCAGCAACTCTCTAAGAATGACAAAGGTTTAGCCTAATTTCAAAGCTCATCTCCGCTTTCAACTTTTTCTCAATAAATATTATGGTGACTCTAAGCGACTTAAAGCAGCCTGCCAAAATAGCACATGTGTTACAATGACTTTTCAATTTTTCCGAGCACATCTTTGCTTACCTGCCACACCCCCACAATTGCATTAGCAACTAAGATGAGTAAGATTACAAAAGGTTCTACAAAGGCTGTGATTGTTTCTTCTCCTTCTTCAAACCAAGCCAACACCTGCAAGAGAGATTAGATAACTCGGTGAAGTTACAGGCATGATTCGGTGGCATGTTCTGCGCGACAACTTGAATTTTAGCCCTACGTTTATTCTGTGGGTGGTTTCCCAGATCGATTGCGTAATTCTAAAATGTCCGCTGACTCACTTGAGCGCACCTGAAAAGCAAATTTGATTACCAGGAAGTAATTGCCTCACCTGCGCTTTTCAAGTAGCTCTCTGCTTTTAAATTTATTTGTGGATCAGATTAGGCCTGTCTGTTGCTTTTTGTTTTCAAAACAAATGGCGCTGTAAATAAATCCGATTTGGGTTAGAATAACCCGACAGGAACGCCACCACGGCATTCCTTGTTCCTAAATCGCCCCTTCCTAAAGAAAAGCCTACGTGGCAATCTAAGGAGCCCCTCTTCAAAATCAGGAGACATCATCCGTGTGGGTTACTTAAAGATAAAAGCATTTAACAGAGAGCAAATTCTCCACTAGTGTTTTTATGCTTGGTCAGCTTGCCAAGAATTGAATGGCAGACAGATTTGATCTATCTGTCCACCGGGCTCTCAGTCAGTGTTATGGTCTGCTGCTCACCCCAGCACCATTTCCAGGAGCCGAGAATCTCCTTTCTATTTCAACTTCAGGCTGGCTGGCTTCCGAGATCTTGAGTTTTCCTGATGGCAAGAGATTCTGTTTCCTTTCAAGACTCATCAAGATCTTAGGGCGGGGGAGAGCGGACATGTGCTAAGCCACCAAGTCCTTTCTTTGGGATCATCTAAGAAACCAACATTTGATGGTGTCTTTTACAGGGTTATTCCAGCCACTTGGCTCAACCAAGCTCACTTGTAGTAACTAAATGGCTTAATCCAATATATGATCTCATCATTTTGTAGTGAACAGCAACTACACCTAAAGCCAAAGAGAGTTAATAATTAAGGCTAAAGGGTCCCTGAAACCATTACTGTGGGATTCTCCCATAGCAGGGCTCAAAGTTAGCTTGCATTCTTTCCTGGTTTACAACAAAAAGGGTGTTAATTTTAATTAAGAACCACACACCACACTAAATAATGGTTTACTGAAACAGGATGTATTTTGTAGGAAGCAGTTGGCTGAGGACACACAGCAGTCTAAGCCATAACCAAGCCAGCTTTACAGAGGATTTGCGTGTCTTGGACCTCACCCTAAAATATACCTCGGAAGACAATGTTAAGACGCTCTGGAAGACGTCCTTTAACTCTGGGACACGTCTCTGAAGCTAACTCATTGTTCTGACAGCGTGACAATATTTCCACAAGCTCCAGTACAGCTTCGTAAAATCATTGTTTCAAAAATCAAAAAGGAGTTTAAACATGTTCTTCTTAGAACAAAACACTGATCAAGGGAGTTTAGAAGTCCTATACCCTGGGGTTTTTTGTACTTGCTGAAAATTAAGCGTTCTGGAATATTTTCCCCAACCGTCTGAGTTACTCAGCATTAGGAATTTAACTGTTAAGAAAAAGAATGCATATGCCATGTATTCCCCCGCACCCCCGCCACCGAACTTTCTAGTTCCAAGGATCATGTTACTGAAAAAGGCACATGGGGTGACGGACCAAAATTGACTTGCAAAATGCCAATTTAGGCCTTATGAGTAACTGAAAGTGACTTGGTAGCTTGCATCAAAGGCTGCAATGATTCATGAAGGGCTAATATTATGTTGGATATATTGAGCAACAGGAAGTACAGAGCAACTGACTTGAAGAATGCTGAAATCGGTCTTTGGAAGTCATTCAGCACAAAGTCATTGTTCAGATCTCTTTTAAAGAAAGAAGGACACAAAAGAAGCAATGGGGGGGAGGGGCGGGGGGAGATTCAGAGCAGCTTATCTACCGCTTTCCCTAAAGGGGTGACTCAGTGGGTTTCCAGGCGAGAGGAAATTGGGACAAGGAGTAAAAAGCCTAAAGGCTGGATGAGCAAAAAAAAAAAAAGTGGTAAAACGGGAGAAAATATCTGGTTTTTCTGTTTGATAAAAGGATAGATGGTGCCCCATTAAACACAAAGCTGTGTGAATTCATACAGCACAATGAATTCTAATTCTTGGGTGAGGGAGGTAGACTAGATGACCTACAAGGTCCCTTACAACTCTGTTATTCTTGATTTACAAAGCGCACCAAAGTCCAAAGTAAACATCAGGTTGCAGTTCTGTAAAATGTGTGAATGGAAACACCAGTTTTTCTTCTTGCTGGAGCTGAAGTGTAAAAGGCAATTTCGAAATTTGCAGAGGACACAGATATCTGCAGAGCCAAGCAAAAGGCAAGTCCTGAACCTTTTAGAAATCAGATGTCCTGTCTTGACCCAGACTGAAATAACAGAAGAGCGCTACGGGCGGATTTAATGTCCCAAATTTGACTCCCAAGTTCTGTAAAAATAAGTGCAGCAACTGTCATTTACCCCTCTGATGAAACTCCAACAATGAAGCTTTGATGCAGGTATTCAATACCTTAATATTAGTCCGCGAATTTACAACACTGAAACAACCGATTTTCCTCTTCTACTACGCAATCCGTACTGGCAATCTATACCAGAGGTAAATCGTATGCACGTTTTTTCTTTTGATTTTTAGTTCAGGAAAATCCTTTTTCTTCCCACTTCAAAGCGCACAGACCGGACTTAACTAACTCTGTCTCTTTGAGATGGGCAAGACCAGGCAATCCAGGAGCTGAAATGCAACACAAGGGGACTGGCTATGTAAAAAGGTCAAAGCAATTTAGCAGCCCGAGTCTACAAAGCATACGGTGAAGGGGAGGGACATTGGTCGGTTTTTGAAATGACAATCATGCATCAGGACACCGTGTCATTAGGTATGCCAACAAATTTCAGCGTCAGGAAGCTCCAGGATCTATATGTACTGTAAATCTAAGCCACAAGTGAATTTTCAGGACACCAGCAACACCGATTTTCCATTTTAACTGCAAACGTGACAAGCTGCCATACTGATCTGACGCTGCACTGGGCTTGGAGCTAGCATTTTCAAGGACAATTACCTCCTCTGAGGAATTTTCTTTGCCTGAACCTCCACACTGAGCTACATTTTGAGTGTTTCATGTGGCTTCAAGATACACATTTACACCAATTGCACCTTCCCCTTCTCTTCAAAACACAGCTACAAGTAAAAGCAGAGGTCTTCCCAGGTAAACATGCAAAAAGTTAAAATCCTGGAAAACAGCTACTGAGCTCAATGAAGCCAACTTTAAGCACGATACCTAATTTTGAGTTACTTTGCAGTACTTGACTCTATAGGTAATGTAAAGGAACTAAATGCTGTTATGCAATTTACAAAGAGACATGATGTCTAATGGTATCTAACAGAAGGCATAGGGAACATCTGTTCTTCCTTCCTTTCATTAAAGCGGAGTCATTAAAGTTAGTTTTTCTCTATTACATCTCGGCTTGTTTTGGCCCCTTTGATGAATTCGGAGGAGCTTATTAAATGTTAACGTTGTCCTCTTTTCATATTCTCTGTAGGACCATCTGGCTCCCTTAGGAGCCTACTGACTTTGCCCATATTTCACGTAAAATTAAAACAAGTGCATATTTCCTAGAATAAATAATCCTGACAAATTTTTCCACATAAATCCTTCAGGGGGGATTGCCAGCCATCCATCTAAGTTATTCCCATGTTCTTGTGAGTCAACTCTCCCTAACAAGTGTCGGAGAAAGATAAAGCTGTTAATAGAAGGAAATGGTGGGAACTGTTTGCTATGATGCCAAACCATTAGACATAGAGACATCTTTGAAATAAAGAAAACCACCAAGGCTGCGCACCATTTAAAGACTATGCAAATTCTAAGAGGTCTGCAATTTTTTCCATTGCAGCCCTAAAAGTAAAAATCCATTATAACAGAGCTTGTCTAACAGCACAAGTATCCAAATTCTCACGTTTCCGAATAGCATTAGGCCAAAAAATGGGTTTAATGGATTATTTTGTCACTTGTCTGAACTCACTCGGGGGCACAAGAAGTTCAAACCTTTCATTAAGATTGCTGAAAGTAAGGTACATTTCTCACTTAGTTTTGCTGATGGGGAATATCAGCAGCCATTCTTCAGGGGGGTTTTTGGCTTAAAAGGCAGGGAATAAATTAAGGGAATGAAATAATCATGCCTTTTGGAAGCAAGATTGATGGGAACATGCACACCAGTTGCTAGGGAACACAATAAGGAACGATCTTTTTAAGCAAGGAGCAACTTTTACAGACTCAGACTAATATTTCCTCTTGGTTTTATCACTGAGGTTCATGTCTTTACAATCAAAGATTTAGCTGAAACGTGCAAAGAAATAAGGGATCAGTTAACGTTGTGCAATTAATTGGGTTTCTGCTTTGCAAATGTTCCTTTCCTTCCCACCTCATTGCAATTTCCTTTGACGTAACTTTGCTCAACCTTTGGCATTTTCAGATGCGTGGACTTCAACTCCCAGAATTCCCCAACCTCTTTTCTTTCTTTGTTAAATTCACTCTAAGCAGAAAAAAGAAAGCGAAAGCTTCTTGCTATATATATTTAAATGTCATTAGCTGCATGTTTTATCCTATTCAGATTAAAATCTTCCTCTGCGCAGCTATCTGGGAACAAGTTTCACTTGAATTCACTCTTGCCAACCTGTCACCCTGGTATTAACGTGATTGTTTGCTGGAGTCACAAGTAGGAGCTGCTACAAAGGGGATGATTGAATATCAGCCCAGAGAAGAGAGATAATGCCAAAGGTGGAACGTGGTGTCTGGATGTTTAGCGTGAAGTAACGCTTTATTCGACTTTATTTCTGTTAGACGAGTAAGATGATCCCTCATATTCCAATAAGTGAACCTTATCTGTGTTGCATCTGTTATTCTTCGGCCTCCGAAGAACCATTGTAGGGACTGGCCTTATGGTTTTGACCGCCACACTTGAAGGACAGAAAGTCATTTTTGTTCAAATAATGACTCGTCCTTCCCTCTGCGCCCACAAAATGAGGCCAGACCCGCAAAATCTAAAACAAGGGAAGGTCTTCC